ATGATGTTGTATAATTATACACTCTCGATGATTCAAATAATGACGCATCATAAAAAATAAGGTATTCGCCAAAAATATCATTGATCATCTAACACCCAACAACAGTATTTAATATGGGTGAGTATTTGATGCACCAACAATGTTATTTAATGTTAATTCAACGCCAAATATTATTATTTTTTTCCTTTTGAAATAAGGTAGTTTAATATGAGTGAGTATTTGATGCACATATAATGTACAAGTCTAGGTATCATTAGTGAACCAAATGATGTTCATCATCAATAATGGATTTAAAAGGATTTAATTTTAAATTTTCATAATGATTTGTCATCAATCCATTAAAATACTTAAAATTATATATCATCCATGCATATGATATTAATCATAGTTATTTAAATATACACTAAAATTAATGTAAAATAATCTCACAAGAGGTCTTAAAATGATAAGTTAAGTTTTTAAAGTATTTTTAAAAATTTAAAAATAAATATAACACTTGTCGTTATCTTAAAGCTACTCGTAATTTATTTCTAATAATTATATATCAAATAATAATCCTTATCTTTAATAGTGATATTATCATATCTTGGGTTTGCCTTTGAAGAATGGGAGATGTGGAAAGTTTCTTTAAAGTCTTTATCTTTAATGTTAAAGGGGAAATTAGGTGAAGGATTTGGATGACAATACGGGGTTGGTTGAACCTTGTGAGGAAGATAATAAAGAAGGGTTAAAAATTAATTTGACCCTCATACTATATACATTCTTCATGTTAGTCCTTAAAGAAAAAATTATTGCAATTAATTACTCAAAATTTGTATTCTATCGACAAGTTACCCCAATAAATCAGTTTCATTACGTTAAATGAGTGGACTTCCTGAAATTGATCATCCATTTTGCAGTCCCAAGTATCATAATTCATTGATTGACTAAGTGAGAGCACTTTTAAAATAAGTGCTCAAACACATGATTTAGTTTTAGTTGTAGTGTTGGGCACTGCCTCTAGTGCAATTGGTTGCTCACCTCCTTTTCTTCTTTTAATCATTTAAACCTTTTCATCCTACAATGATTACAATATAATATATATTTAAATGATTTCTTAGTATATTCAGAATACACATACACCCTGTAAACATAATTGTTTGAACTCAAAAACTCTATAAAGAACAACACTTTCCTTTATTAGTGAGACTACTTAATAGATTCTTGAAGTTTTCATTTAAATGTTCTTATCCGATATTTGTGTTTAATACATAATTGGATACAAGCAAATAAGTCTGTTATATATATATATATTAAAGGGGAAAAGGTGAACATACTTATATTATACACGTACCCACATTAGACACCAAGTAAAATATTTCATAGAATATTAAATGATAAATATTAATACAACGTAGATGAGAGTGAAAGCAGGAATTGCTGGTCAATAATTCTGTTCCAAGTACAAATCTTATCTGCATAATCTAATTTTACTCGAATATGAACCAACTGTAATTGAAATATCTTAAAGAAGATCACATAGGGAACTGGTAATTTCCTTCATAATCATTTTAACGAATCATCTTCTCATCCATGGAGGAAAGCAGCCCCCAGCTTATGGTTCATGAACTGAAGACTTATCTTCTTCCTCCTTAATGGCGTTAATCATGGTGGCAACCTGGTTAATGCTTGGCCTAGACTCAGGAGCCTGGTTGACACATTTGATAGCCACATGCAGCAGATTCAGCATCTCCTCTTCACTCGCGCCCTTGGAAATTAATGCCTTATCGAAAACTTCGACCGTTCATTCTTCGCGAACCACCGAATGAACCCATGAAGTTAGATCGACTCCGTCGTCCTGAACCAGCTTTCCGGTAAGTAGCTCAAGCAGAACCACACCGAGGCCATAAATGTCTGCTTTGAAACCACTAGTTGCAGTGTCCTTGGTTTGTTGCTGCATTGAAGAGGGTTCTTGAGGGTCCATGACCATCAGTCCGTATTCGCTTAGGAAAGGTTCCATGTTGCTCTTCAGCATGATGTCTGAGGATTTCAAGTTACCATGATGGATTCCATCGCCATGAAGTTCATGGTGCATGAATGCCAATCCCTCTGCAATTTTGGCTGCAACGATGAGTCTGCTGGCCCATTCGAATCTTCGCCCCGATCAGTTTCCTAAAATACATACTCGGTTAGCTGCTCAAATGCGTACGTACCAAAATATGTTGATTACATTTTGAATGAAGAGAAGAGTATGGTTACCATGGAGAAGAGTGAAGAGACTTCCATTCAGCTGATATTCATAAACCAGAAGCTTCTCATGCTTTGAACAATAGAAGGCGAGCGGTGGCAAGACGTTCGGATGCTTCGCTTGATCTAGCCTCAGCATCCTCTGGTTAAACTCGTCGTTCGAAACCATCCACCCTTTAATCCTTTTCACAGCCAAGACCATCCCGTTCTCGAAGATGACTCTGTAAAGGGTACCATGTTTTTCCCGATCAACTCAGCTGGAGCTCTAAGCAAGTCCTCAAACCTCAAATCACTTACTGTAGGACTAGTCAGAACCACTAGTGAGGACGAGACCATCTCACTCTCAGTTGAATTGATCGGAAACTCGGATTTACTCACATCGGTTTTCAACTCAGCCGATGTAAAACTAGGCTTGGTGTCAACAAAGTCATCCACTGATGCTACCTTATTTGGACTTGGAGCTGGAGCTTCAACTCTTTTCACTTTCTTCCTAGTGAGCCTGAAAATGATCAAACCAACAATAACCAATCCCAAAGCAATATAACCTGAGAACATAAGGATATCCTTATTGGAAAGACCCTTAGATTTCTTTTTTGAAGGTGGACATGTCTACAGTAACATTTCTCCACACAATCCAGGGTCGTTGAGATAGCAGTCTGCTGGGAATTTCTGACTCACATCAGGAATTGGACCCTGGAAATTGTTGTTTGAGACATTGAATTGATTGAGATTCGAGAAATCGAATTCCGGAATCTCCCATGTAAGCTGATTGTTTTGAGCTAAAAACATCTGGAGACATGAAATCCTTGCCAAACCTGGCAATTAGCCACTAAACCTATTGTTTGATATGTCAAGTTGTATCAGGTTACCTAACGTTGACATTGAATTTGGAAGTTTTCCAGTGAATTGGTTCCCTCCCAAGAACAAACGAGTTAACTGTTTGCACTTGACAATATCAGCTTGAATTTCACCACCAATGTTGTTCAAGCTAAGGTTAAGAAGATTAAGCGATGCAGCAATGGAACCAACATTACAAATAGCAGCGACATTAAGAACACCTGATAAACTTGAATTATCAAGCACTGTTTTCTTAACCAAGCTGTTGGTTTTATTGTCACAAGCTATACCCTTCCACTTATCCCTGCAAGGATCCGAACTCGAATTCCAACAGATATTCGGGTCGAACCGAGCATTGTTGTTGGACAACCCTGTAAAGAATGTAACCAACGAGTCCCTGGCTGCATCATCCTCTGAATCCGTCACATGAATGACGAGAAACAATGAAACAAAAAGAAACCAGATTAGAATTTTTTTCCATTTTTTCTTCTTCTTTGGGGCGATTCTCTTTGAAACTTTGATTCAAACAAGTTTGGTATGGAAGTTAGAGTTTAAAACGAAACTGGAATTTTCATTGGTTGGGATTGTGGAACATGGAGGAAATCTCGAGGCTTTTGATGATTGCCGGAAATAATATAAAAAAGCTTAATGATCCATTTGGCTGAATATACAACATGAATTTGTAGTTTATGCATTGGATCAATGTTATAGAATCAGGCATTTGGCTTTCAAAGATATAAGCTGGCTGTAACAGGAAAGATTGAACCTATAGTGTCATGGCTTTTTACAATGATGAATATTCTTCAGTGAAACAAAAAGTATTCGTTGTTTGAATATCTATGTTGTGAGGTGTTAACATATTTTTATAGTAATTAATCTGAATTGATCGGTTAATAGATCGAATATCGATGATTGTACTAAAAAAATTAAAATCAAATATTGATTTTTTTTTCTTGAAATGATATGATGTATATTTTTATACAGAGCTGGCTTTCATTAGTTTAACTTTATATTTGACTTTTTAAACCTTCTTTTTCTATTTCTTTAGATTAAGATTTAAGTTTATAAAACATAGGCATGATAAGGATGGAATTGAACTGAAAATGACATTTCCTTGTCGGAATTTCCCAGGGATTGGCATCAATTACAATAGGCTTCATTCTCTTATGTCTTAACCAAAGAAAAGCATACTGCATCTAATGCTTTCTTTTCAACTGATCTTATATTTTCATTTCTTTTATTAGAGTTTTCTATTTTTTCCCACAAAAACATATCAAAATACGAAGCATGTCTTTAAGGATTCAACTCGAGCTTAATCTAATAAATTTATAAAATCATAATATTCTTTATAATCCAATTTACCTCTTTTATAAATTGTTATTTGTAGGTCAGTAAAGTGAATAGACCTGTCCATCATATAATAGAGTTTTCTGATGATAAAATCAACAACAGTCAAGTAAAGGGATTGTAACTAACCGATGGATATGGAGACTTTTAAAGACTCCGAAAATCTAAATAGATAGAGGATTGAAAATAGATATATAACTTGCAGAAGAGATCTGAAGAAAGGTATAGCATAAATATATATAATTAGAGAATGAAGTTATATTATTTTACTTTACCTTTAAGATAAGATTATATTGATTGAAGGAAAAAGTTTCCATTTGTCCTTATAATGCAAAGAAGTCAAGCAAAAGGATTAGAAGTTTATTGTACACTTACTTGTGTCTTTGTGTTTACAAGACAAGAATATCCCCTCAAACACACCTTTTTGATGAAGTTCTACAAGTCAAGCATCCAACGTGATGCCTAGCGTTTCATTGTAAAAAGGAAACAATATTTCATGAACATGCCCTTAATTACCCTTTCTTCTTCTTCTTCTTCTATATTTATTAAAAATTGGCAAGAGAAAAAAAAAGGCAAACAAATTCTTTCCCATGGAAGAGTTTTTGAGAAAACCCGGTATGTTTTTTTTTCCATATAATTTTAGATTGGCTAAGGCAATGAAGAAATTAAAAGAAGATAGGAACCCTAACTCAAATTGTTGATGATGTTTTGTAGAGATCATAAGAGTTACAAGAGATGTTCCGCCAGCTCACTATATATTCAGCATAGAGTCGTTCTCTTTGTTAGTTGATACAGGGGTGACAAAATATGAATCCCATGCATTTGACGTTGAGAATTATAAATGGTAACTTCTTCTACAAATGCTTTACATTGTAATTTCCAATGAAAAATCTTGGAAATAAGGCTCCGATTATTTTTTATTTTTCAGTAAATATCATTTCATATTTTGTTGTTAATCTCAGCCACATATTTCCAAACGTTCAACTATCTTAAATTTATATGTACAAACTAAAAAAAGTTTACGCTCTGTAGTTGGATTTATATATACACACGAAAACATTCTTATATTATAGATCATAAAAGTGAAATAGGGAAGATTGGGCAAACATTTTTTTTTTCATTTTCTTAGCTATTTCCTATGGCATTTACAGGAGACTGTCACTGTACCCAAATGGAAACAAGAAAAGCAATGGCGAGGGGTTCATCTCCCTTTACTTACAAATTGATGGGATTGAAAATTTTCCTTCTACTTGGGAAGTAAATGTTAACTTTAGGTTCTTCATACATGATCAAATTCGTGACAAATATTTAACCATCGAAGGTGTATTTCTTTGTGTACATGCATTAAAATTATTTTTTTATAAGTCAAACAGATTATTGATTCAAAATCAATTGGACCTAAAATAAAAATTAATCTATCTTTATAAATTCTAGATTGATGTTCATCGTATTCAATCAAATTCATGAATAATATCCTTTTATGTGCTTAGATACATAGACATATAATAGATACAGTTATAGGTCATTCATGTATCGGTTCATGTTACAATTTTTATCGATTTAGTCCGTCTGATTAATTCGATTCTTTGAATATAAATCACGATAATAATCTCTCTTTTTTCTTGGATGTTGGGCAGAAAGTGATGGGGTGATCAAGCGATATTACAAGATGAAAACAGAATGGGGCATTGCTCAATTGGTGGGTTTGGATCACTTTAAGGAAGCCTCAAATGGGTACTTGGTTGAGGATTGTTGCACATTTGGGGTCGAAATCTTTGTGATTAAACAAACAGGAAGATTGGAGCGTGTTTCAATGCTGAAGCACCCTCCCAACAATACAATCACTTTCCAACTCCATAACTACTCACGTTCATTCTCTGAATACTATACCTCTAATGTTCAAACTATTGGGGACTCAAAATGGTAAGCGCTATTTATCGAGTTAAGCTTGGAAAATCGAATTCGAATAATTTACAACCACGTAATGATTTCGAAAAATTCTCGGAACATTTTTGCCATTGGTTTTTTATGGCTAAAACATGCAGGGAATTGATAGTTTATCCTAGAGGACGGGGAATATGGAAGAATGCATCACTTTCGGTGTACTTGAGGTCGATCGAGGGTTACAACAACAAGCTTCCATCCCAAGGAAAGGTGTATGCAAAATACAATTTTAGGGTCAAGGACCGTTACAATTACGCTAACACCAGGGAATATACAGGTAAGTTACCCTAATTTTAACACCCATACAAAACATAATTGTCATAGCCAATAGCTTCTCCCGTGTTCTTTATAGGATCACATTGGTTTACTAATTTAGCTTGTCAAAGCGGTTTTAAATACTTCATGGGACTGTTTACTCTACAAGATAGATCAAAAGGCTACCTTGTTAATGATTGTTTGACGGTGGAAGCTGAGATTATTGTAGTTTCTAAAGTCGAACTTTTCTTATAGAACTTATTTATTTTAGTGTATCCTAATCCTAGTTTGGGTAAGTCCATTTCCAATTGTAAAGCCCAAATCATTGTTTATTAAAATATTGAAAAGAATAAATTACATGAATTATCTGTTATGTTTGAACAAATTTTTATTTTGATTATGATTATTAATATTATCGATTCATTGTAATTTTTGTTACACGGGTGTTGTTTTACCAGTAAAAAGATTTCATTTTAAAAACTTATATCGACATGGTAATTGTAAACACTAATTTTTTTCATTTTTCATTTTTATTATTATTATTAAAATTATTATTATTAATATTATATATATTATATTATAATATATTATTATTAAATAATTATTACAAAGCCCAAAGCGGCAGCCCAAATACAAATCCCAGGCCCAACCAGAACCGGCCCAGACCCAAATAGAAACCCTGAATTGATTTGGGGTTTCAACTAGGGTTTCTCAACCCTATCCCAGCCGCCGCTACTTCCAGAACATCCACGACGCCGCTCCAAGCTTCAGCCGCCCCACGCCTCCAGCTGCTTCCAGAAGCCCAAGCCAGATGTCTCGTCCAGTCGTTGCCGACGCTTCAGTACTGCCATGACGCCAACAGAGGATTCTAGAAGGCCAGCTGCCCCCCCACACGTCGCGGCTATGGGGTGAGTCACCACATAGCTCGGTGACTCACCGAACTTCCCCCTCTGGACCGGTCCGAGCATGGCTCCGTGGTGGCTATAAAAGCCACCGGATCCTGCAAAAAAAAAGAGGAGACCACGAGAGCAAGAACTACACCAACGATCCCAGACGACTACGTAAGAAGAAGAAGACGAGACGACTTACCACCGAGGAAGCTACGCCGTCGTCAGAATCTCCACACACACCGCCAAAGAAACCGAAATACCGTGGGTATTTTTGTAGATCTAGGTAATTTTGGGGCTGTTTAAGGGAAAACGAGGTCGGATTCGGCCAGGGGAGGTTCAGAGCTTCATTTTGAGTATATTTTTAATTTTTCGACCACCATGGGTGGTGGCCGGCGGTGGTGACCGACGCCGGAGCACGGCTGCCGGCCGGTGGTCTCCCTCTTTGTTTTAGAGAGAGGCAGAGAGAACTCTGATTCTCTCATTTGAGAGAGAGAAGAGAGAAAGAAGAAATGAGGATGCTAGCCCTTCGGGCCAGCCGTTTAGGGTATTTATGCCCCTTCCCAAACGACGCCGTTTTGGGAGGGGTATATCTGTAATTTCGCGTATGGCCAAACCATACGCGCAATCATCCAAGTTTGTAATCTTTTCAATTTAGTCACTAGAATTATTTTTCTGGATATTTTAATTTTGTCTTCCAATATTATTTTATTTTAATTTAGTCCTTATCAGCATATATATATATATTTAGGGTAAATATCAAATTTAGTCCCTCATAGTTTAGTAATTATTATTTTAATCTCGTATTATGAATTATGGTTAAATTACACATTTAATGACCATCTTTTATATATTTTGAATTAGTACTCTAGTTTTATAATTTTACATTTTAATCATTAAAATTTCATTTTTGATTATGATTTTTTAATATTTTACATTTTAATACTATATTTTTAATTCCTTTTATTTTAATCATTATTTGCAATATTATTTTATTATTATTATTATTTTTATTTCATTATTATTAATTTTATTATTTATATAAATAAATAAATAAATAATATTTGTTTATTCGTTAAAATCCTATATTTCATAAATTACTTTTAATAATCATATTTTAATATATATTTATTTATTTTTCAATATTAATAAAGGGCAGTCTTAAAACAACTGGATGTCCATTTTCTGATATTTTTAAATAAATAAATATCCTATTTTATAAATTATATATTAATTGTTTATTTGTTTTTTAATATCGAAGAAAAGAGATGTCTTAAGGCACCTAGAAGTCCTTTACTGATATTTCTAAATAAATAAATATTTTATTTATAAATATATATAAATTAATATATTTTTTTCATAATTATAATTTTGAAACAACAGAATTATAAATTAAATATATTTGAATTCTTAAAATTCTATTATTAGAGACAATGTATAATTAAAAAGTACCAATTTTGGGCGTTGTAGGGGTGCTAATCCTTCCCTAAACGTAACCAACCATGAATCCCTTTTTATTATTAAAAAGAACGAATTTTTGGTTATAAACGCAGATCAGTTCATCTTTTAACTGATGTTTTCTTAAAAACCCTTTTAAAATATAATTTTTAGGTATTCGACCTACCTGAACCAAAAGGCCGATGGCGACTCCCAAATTATTTTAAACCATTTATTCACATTATTTTCCCTCCAAGTAAAAAATTCGTGCCCGGACGAAAACCGGTTACGACAGCTTGGCGACTCCGCCGGGGAACAATCAAACTTTGAAATTAATTATAAATTGTCTCTATTAATTTGAAATTAAAATTCATATTTATTTAATTTATAATTCTTTCTTTTCATAATTTTTATATAATTATTATTTTCATAATATTTATATGTATATTATTTTATTAATATTTCATTTTTTTTCAAGTATTTTTTTCGTTATTTATCTGTCAGAGGTTTGAACATTTCTCCTCACACACATCACTTGTATTGCATAACATAAGCTTTCTAATCAAGCTTGTCCCTTTTAAGTGGGAGTGAAAGCGACGTCTTTGTGAGAATTTATTCTCCGTGTCAGACCTAGCAAGTAACTTTCGGGGTTCATATATTCTATGTCTTCATGAGAATTTATTCTCCGTGTCAGGCATAAAGAAATGTGTCCCCTCGAATTGAACTCGGTCCGCTTAAGTCTGTGATGGACTAGGATTGAGGGTTGATAGCCCAAGGGGGCATCAACAAGGACAGTTCGAGTACCTTTACTCCTAGAACTGAAGCCCTGCATATAATAAACCTAGAAACTCTCCCGATCTGAAACCATGCCGAAATTTTGTTAATAAGTGTACACAAAGGAGAAATAAGTTCTAGCTTTTATTTTATTTTCTTTTTCCTGAATAAAAGCATGTGAACTAGTAATCATGCGATTAGGTTAATTTTTTCAAACCAAGCATGGAACTAGAAAGCATGAGGCTAGGATTTATACCTTGATAGATAGGTTTTTTTTTGCCATTAGTTGGTACTAACTATTCTATTTTTTTCTTATTTCTTTTGTTTGCATTGCATGATCATAGCATAACCAAAAGGTGTTTACTTGAAAGACTGTTCATCATATTGGAAAGAAATCGTAAAATGACAAAAAGTTTTATGATCAAACAAAATATGATGCGACCAAGAAAAAACATCCCGAGGATAAAAGCGAGCAATGCACACAGAGATCCTGTTATATTAATACCAAAAGTATTACACAAAGATCCTACCAAATTGATACCAAAAGCAGTCTATGGTAAGAACATCAATCAGGGCATTCAGAGTAGTGGAGGTTTTATGAAGCTCAAGCATGTTATTTGAAGGACTTGAACGACCAAAACAAGAAATTAAGCACAGAAATGAAAACCATGCATGAAGATTTTCAGAAGATCAGTCAAACCTTTCAAAATGCTGGCCTAGGAAGTACCCAGAAGAGTGGATAATAGGGGTCACCAAGCTGAAAAAGAACTGCAACATATATGAAGATCTTGTTCAAGAACTTCTTGGATAGAAAGGTTCTCTTACAAGGGAAAATAAGCAACTCCGAGAAATGACACAGAAGATGAAAGAGAATGTCATGGAAGAAGTTACAGTCCAGAAAAATAATATGGTTCTTAAGTGATAGATTTAGCTGATTTTACAAGGAGATGAAGCAGACTTAAGACTCAACTTTTGAGCATGAATGGAAACTAACTGGGCTTTGGAGAAGTTAGGAGTGAAAGATATCCTTATATGTAAAGTTTTGTTTGATGTATCAAAACTTTTGTGTTCAATGAAATATGTTCTAAGATGATCACTCTTGAGTAAACACCTTTTCATACATGCATTTGCATTTTTCATGTGCATTTATACTTTATATTTGCTTTTGTACTATACAGTTTGCATTTTATTGTTACATTCACATATTTACATTTGCATTTACATTTACATTTGCATTTTTACGTTTGTATTTACATTTTCATTTTTACATAATTACATTTGGTTTTAAACTATTTTACATACATTTAAACATGAAAACATGAGAGTAATTCGTGGAGGATTCCATGACAGAATATTTGAAATCAAAGTGGAGCTAACTTGGTCTTCCTAAACAAGGATAAGAACCATGAATGAGATTTTAGCAAGGGTTGGTAGAATTGAGAACTACAAGAGAAACTTATCAAGACTCAACAAGAGAGATTGATCAAGTAAAAAATTCCCATAATGATTCAAAAGAGCAAATGACAAAACTGATGGACCTGATGAATGTTGTGATCCATGGAGAGAAACCCTTGGAGGATCCTGTTGTAATAGATTTGAATGGAATTATGAAGTATGTAGCTGATACAATGAAAACAAATGACCAGAATTTTGTCAGGGAATGTGGAAATCCAATAAGCCACCAAAAGTCGGGTATAAACCCAGAAAATACGACAAAGATCAAGTTGAAGAGAAGCATGGAAGAAGTTTCAGTGCCATTGAAGAAAGCTAAAGAAAGCAAAGTAAACAGTTGTAATGAAACAGTGATGTCTGGAGAAATTTTACCCAAGTTTCCTTCAGTTTCATGCAGCAAGATATATTACAAGTTGCTTCAGGCCCAGATTATTGCTCCATGTCGAGCTAAGCCTTTGTTGCTTCCATATCAAGTTGGTATAATGAGAAAGTCTTTTTGTGACTATCATGCTGGAGCCCGAGGACACTCCATTGAGAATTGTGGTCGCTTTAAACGACGAGTTCAAGACCTTTGGTTCAGGGAATCATAGAAGTGGAGGATCAGTCTATTTTGATCAAACAATCGGGAATCAAATCCCAAAATGGAGTTGGTAGTATCAAAACAAATGAAGTACATGCTACAGGGGAAGAAATGAAGTATTTGAG